AGAAGAAGAAGAAGAAGAAGAAGAAGAAGAAGAAGAAGAAGAAGAAGAAGAAGAAGAAGAAGAAGAAGAAGAAGAAGAAAGAAGAAGAAGAAGAAGAAGAAGAAGAAGAAGAAGAAGAAGAAGAAGAAGAAGAAGAAGAAGAAGAAGAAGAAGAAGAAGAAGAAGAAGAAGAAGAAGAAGAAGAAGAAGAAGAAGAAGAAGAAGAAGAAGAAGAAGAAGAAGAAGAAGAAGAAGAAGAAGAAGAAGAAGAAGAAGAAGAAGAAGAAGAAGAAAGAAGAAGAAGAAGAAGAAGAAGAAGAAGAAGAAGAAGAAGAAGAAGAAGAAGAAAGAAGAAGAAGAAGAAGAAGAAGAAGAAGAAGAAGAAGAAGAAGAAGAAGAGAGAAGAAGAAGAAGAAGAAGAAGAAGAAGAAGAAGAAGAAGAAGAAGAAGAAGAAGAAGAAGAAGAAGAAGAAGAAGAAGAAGAAGAAGAAGAAGAAGAAGAAGAAGAAGAAGAAGAAGAATGTGAAAAGAAGACGAAGAGCAGGAGTAGGAAGAAGAATAAGAAAAGAAGAAGAAAAAGGAGAGGAAGAAGAAGAAGAAGAAGAAGAAGAAGAAGAAGAAGAAGAAGAAGAAGAAGAAGAAGAAGAAGAAGAAGAAGAAGAAGAAGAAGAAGAAGAAGAAGAAGAAGAAGAAGAAGAAGAAGAAGAAGAAGAAGAAGAAGAAGAAGAAGAAAAAGAAGAAGAAGAAGAACAAGAAGAAGAAGAAACAACAACAACAACAACAACAACAACAACAACAACTAGATTAACAAGACAAACAAACAACAAGACTAAGAACAATAAAGAAAATTTTTAAAAAAGACAAAGAACAAGAAGATATCCAAGAAAAAGCTGAACGAGAAATAAGAACAAGAAAAACAAGACGAAGAACAATAAACACCAGATGAAGTTTAAGAAGAAGTCAACAAAACACAAGAACAATAAACACCAGATGAAGTTTAAGAAGAAGTCAACAAAACACAAGAACAATAAACACCAGATGAAGTTTAAGAAGAAGTCAACAAAACACAAGAACAATAAACACCAGATGAAGTTTAAGAAGAAGTCAACAAAACACAAGAACAATAAACACCAGATGAAGTTTAAGAAGAAGTCAACAAAACACAAGAACAATAAACACCAGATGAAGTTTAAGAAGAAGTCAACAAAACACAAGAACAATAAACACCAGATGAGGTTTAAGAAGTAGTCAACAAAACACAAGAACAATAAACACCAGATGAAGTTTAAGAAGAAGTCAACAAAACACAAGAACAATAAACACCAGATGAAGTTTAAGAAGAAGTCAACAAAACAGAAGAACAATAAACACCAGATGAAGTTTAAGAAGAAGTCAACAAAACACAAGAACAATAAACACCAGATGAAGTTTAAGAAGAAGTCAACAAAACACAAGAACAATAAACACCAGATGAAGTTTAAGAAGAAGTTAACAAAACACAAGAACAATAAACACCAGATGAAGTTTAAGAAGAAGTCAACAAAACACAAGAATAAGAAATGGAAATTTAAAAAAAAAAACGTAGAACAGAAGGGAAAAAATGAACAATAACATGAAGAATAACAATAATAAAAACACGACGAAGAACAAGAAGTACAAGCAGAAGTAAACAATAACGTGAAGAAAAAGAAGAACACAACGAAGAACAAGAAGTTCAAGAAACAGTTGAACAATAGCACAGAGAAAGATATAAGCGTTTTTTTTTTTTTTTTAAATAGAAGACTTGTTAGAAGACTGATATGATAGGATATAATCATGCAATAATCAAAGGTAAATGTAAAGATGAGAGTGTCGACTTAATTGCACAGGGATCCTACATGACCCTGTCCCTCTCCACAGAACAGCTAGTAGCCTGCCTAGAGCGTCACACAGAGCACGACCTCTGTAGCTCCGGTGACGATCCTAAGAAATTTCTTTAAAAATTTCACTCGTGAACTTAACGGCGTCGCCGTGAAACGAACCCACGACCTTCAGAGCGCGAGTCAGACGGCGTGACCTTTTCGCCACGGACGGAGACCCCGTGCAATAATCAATAAACGAATAATGAGTTGTCAAGCACCGAACAAGAAAAATAATCAAAATGAGGTGTCATCATCAATGAGTGACATGTCGCATGACCTGTGGGATCATGCACAAACTTTGAATATCTAGGCTCTATAATAAATAGCAATGGAGACTGTTTGGCAGAAATTAAAAGGAGGATGGCCATAGCAATGCAAAGATTAAACAGCCTAAAAAGTATATTGTTAAAAACCAGCAAGAAAATCAAAATTAGACGTTTGAGAGCATGCATCTTTCCTGTAGCAACGTACGGATCTATCTATCTAATCTGTCTAAAATACGGATGTGAGTTGTGGACAATAACCCAGTCCTTAAGAAATAGAAAAGGGGCTTTTGAGCTGAAATGCTGTAGAAAGATTCTCAGAATATCTTGAACAAAGAGGAGGAGAAATACTGACATCTTGAAACATCTGAACATCAAGGAAGAATGACTAATAAGCAGCATCCTGTCTCGGAAGCTGAAATATTTTGGTCACATCAAGCGCCACGATGGACTGGAAAACATTATACAGAAGGCATGGTACCAGGAAGGAGGGGCAGGGGCCGACCGACACGAAGATGAGCACAGGATATAAGAAACTCCTTGAGTATGAGAGTGCATAAGGCGGGAGAGCTGGCGAGAGACTGAGTTTCTGTCAGGCAGACTGTGATGAGAGCGAAGTTCTGCAAAGGATCAGCAACATGATGATCACTCTTGCAGCCATTCTCAGACATTTCATTTCCATCATTACTAATTTTATTTTCTAGTTTGTTTTGAGCGACTATGTCTAGTGCTGTAGCATAAAGTTGGAATAGATATGCTTTGTATGAAAAGTTTCGACTTCTTACTAGGATTGTCTTGTTGAAAAAAGAAAGAAAAAACGGGGAGGGGAGAAGCCAGCAATATTTGGTTTGCTTTATCACATCTGATGGTAATTTCTTCATCTAATTCACCATCTTCGGTGAATGTTGTTCCACATATTTTAACTCAGATGCTTGTTTAATGTCTTTGTACTTTACGGTCATATTGAGATTCTGCTTTTCTCTTCCTATTGACCTTTCTTTTGTCTGTTCAGCGTTAATTCTCATAATAATTCTTTTACATTTTTCATTCATGACTATAAGATAGTGCAAATGTATGGCTGTATGTGCTATCAAGACTTGGTTATCAGCAAAGAGTAATTAGTTGATGTTACTAATATTTTCGTTCTTAGGCTTGGCATCCTTGCATATATGTAGACGTATCTGAGAAACAGCTGTGGTGATAAGACAGGTGCCTGTCTTACTCTGGATGTTGCTGTGAATGTTTTAATGTACAGCAGGTATGAAAAGGACAGACGTTTACCTTTCCTTCTGTAACAATCACATCTCAAAGGCCTTGCAAATTGTGCAGCCAAGCAATATGAACAAGACACAGCAAGTCAATGGATTATTCAGTTACTTTTTATAAAGATACTCTATGGTACCCAGCGATGAAGAAAAACAACAGTTTTGTAAGAAATAAACTAACCATTAAATACACACAAGTATGTAGATGCAAAACGGAAATTTTGTTCACTCTTCGCTATCTATCTAATCTATCTATCTAATCTATCTATCTATCTATCTATCTATCTATCTATCTATCTATCTATCTATCTATCTATCTATCTATCTATCTATCTATCTATCTATCTATCTATCTATCTATCTATCTATCTATCTATCTATCTATCTATCTATCTATCTATCTATCTATCTATCTATCTATCTATCTATCTATCTATCTATCTATCTATCTATCTATCTATCTATCTATATATCTATCTATCTATCTATCTATCTATCTATCTATCTATCTATCTATCTATCTATCTATCTATCTATCTAATCTATCTAATCTATCTAATCTATCTAATCTATCTATCTATCTATCTATCTATCTATCTATCTATCTATCTATCTATCTATCTATCTATCTATCTATCTATCTATCTATCTATCTATCTATCTATCTATCTATCTATCTATCTATCTATCTATCAATCTATCTATCTATCTATCTATCTATCTATCTATCTATCTATCTATCTATCTATCTATCTATCTATCTATCTATCTATCTATCTATCTATCTATCTATCTATCTATCTATCTATCTATCTATCTATCTATCTATCTATCGATCGATCGATCGATCGATCGATCGATCGATCGATCGATCGATCGATCGATCTATCTGTCTGTCTGTCTGTCTGTCTGTCTGTCTGTCTGTCTGTCTGTCTGTCTGTCTGTCTGTCTGTCTGTCTGTCTGTCTGTCTGTCTGTCTGTCTGTCTGTCTGTCTGTCTGTCTGTCTGTCTGTCTGTCTGTCTGTCTGTCTGTCTGTCTTATATGTCTGCCAGCCAGGCTATTTGTCTATTCCCCTGGCTTCAAATGTAACGATTGTTTGCCAGCAGGTAAACCTGTCTTTTACTTTGTTGCTGTGTTTGTTTTCTGTTTAATCTGATCGGGCGTCGCAGTATCTTATATAAGCATGTTGCGAATATTGATTGGTTTGTGAATCACTGGCCTCCTCTCTTTCTCTATATCTCTCTCACTTCCCCCCCCCTCCCCGCTCTCTCTCTCTCTCTCTATCTCTCTCTCTCTCTCTCTCTCTCTCTCTGTATACATATGTGTGTGTTTGTTTACAAAGGCGTGTTTGTGTGTGCGCGCGAGCGTGTGTGTGTGTGTGTGTATTCGTTTAGACGTTCCATATTTATATTTATATTCCCTGTAGCTGGCTGCCCCTCACATTGGCCTGCGTGTGAATCAATCGCGGTTATAAAGAACAAATATAAGGAGTCGTAATCCTACAGACTCCATAAAAACCAGGGTCTGCCACCCTCGCATGTCAGACCCACTCCACCCTGTCATAGGCTGTTGGAGAAAGCGTGGCGAACGTCTAACCGTAGTAGTAGGTGTATTCTGTGTTGTTGACCACCACTACGACGACGGCGATGATGATTCCGATGATGAGGAGAATTCCCACACCGATGGAGATAAGGGAGAACCGACGGGAGTCGTTGGCGCTGAGCATTGCTGAGGACAGATCGCCTCTCTCCAGCTGGGCGCGGGACTGTGGGAGAAATAAACATGCTCACATCACCAGCGTGTGGGGGAGGGGGGGATGGGTTGTGTGGGTAAGTGTATGTGTGTATTTGTCCGTGTGTGTATGTGTGTGTGTGTATGTGTGAGGGATGTGTGTGTAGGTGTGTTGAGCGTGTGTATGTGTAGGTTTGTGTGTGGGTGTGTATTTGTGTGGGTGCGTGTATGTGTGGGTTGTATGTATGTGTGGATGCATGTGTGGATGTGTGTGTTTGTGTGAGCGTGTGTATGTTTTTGTGTGTGTATGAAGGAATTGTTTGTTTTCTTTATTTTTTTAAATGAATACTAGACGGTATACTTGTTTGTTTGTGTGTTTGTTTTAGCATCCAGAAGCCATGAGTTTTGTTAACCCTTAGGCTCGGTATTATGGATACCGCAATCTTTCGGTCTTGATTCTATTGTAAATACCGTAAATCTGGAAGAAATGTGGCTTTTCTGCCTGCCACCGGGAGTGAACCCGGACCACAAGGAGTTCGTCACCCGGTCACCGCGCAATCCGGTTTAGCCAACTACGCTAGAGAGCTGGGCAGACGGCATACTTATGTCAAGGAAGATCAAAATAAAAGATCCTTCCTTATACCATTTTTACCGTAGCAACAGCAGCATTTTACCAGATGAAGAAATTTTATACAACTTTTCTTTGTCAATTGAGATGAGAAAGAGAATTCTTAAAAGCTGTATAAATTTTGTCTTGATATACAGAAGTAAATCATGGAAAGTTGGTAAATTATTGAAAACATTTTGAAGCTGCGGAGATGTGGTTTTATAGACTAATGATGAGAATACCCAGGACAGATCAAAAGAGTAATGAAGATGTCCGGCAACAGACTGACTCGTGAAGAGAGCGAAAGCCCACATCAGAAAGAGACAATCTACAGTCTTTGGCCATGTGATGAAAAGGAGAAAACTGGAGTACATTGTGACGGTAGGAAAGTTGGAGGGGAGGAGAGGTAGAGGGAGACGGAGAGAAAAGATGCTGGACAATTTGATATCATGGCATGGAGGATCATCTGTAGAGTTGACTGAAAGTACACGAGACAGAAGGTTGTGGATAAATATGAATGCCAATACATCACGGCATGGACTTGAAGAAGAAGAAGAAGAAGAAGAAGAAGAAGAAGAAGAAGAAGAAGAAGAAGAAGAAGAAGAAGAAGAAGAAGAAGAAGAAGAAGAAGATTAGACATGTTGGGTATTTTTAACTCTTTCTGTCCCAAGCAACGCATCATGTGTGAGATCGTCTACTTTCTGTACGTATCAAGCATACCATGGCACATTCTTATATTCTTGAGCACACTAAAAAATCTGGCCTAATATTTTAACATAGAGAATTTTAGTGTTATTTCTTTAAAAGTAAGTCGTTTATGCTACTTTATCTTTTTTTTTTTTTTTTAACATAAATTGTGTTAACGGTTTGGCATCTGTTGCCCAGTCGTCTAGAACTTAGAGAATTAAGACCATTTAAAGACCTCCTGTAATTCCTATATTCTCTAGTCAGGCTGTTGACTTGGAAATCACCACAGTCATTAAAAAATATGCTACAAAGGAATTACAAATCTTCCGGCATGTGTCTAGAAACATGACTACCATGATACATAAAACATCTTGGAATGTTTACACTACTGCTGCTACTGTTGCTGCTGCGACTACTAGTGCTGCTGCTGCTACTACTACTACAAAAATTGCTACTAATACATGTACTATTGCTGCTCCTGCTAGTACTACTACTACTACCACTAAGAACCACAAGTCATAACACTACAACTGCTACTATTACTACACACTCGCCTGCGGATCTGAAAGTCGTAAGTTCAGTTTTTGACATAGCCAGTAGTTTTTTTTTTTTAAATGAACCTTAACTCCCATGTCGACCGAGGCTTAACTGGGTACCAGATAAAGACCTGTCGAGTAAAGGCGTGATGTTGCCAATGGTTGCCTAATTGATGTCACCGTCCTTTTTAGGATGAAATTTGTCGTTATTAGAAGCCCCACCCTGGCTCTTTCCAGAGGCCGCAATATAGCCAGGCCATGAATATGGCCTAATGGCTGAACGTGGTTTCTGGGACCTCTCCACGGTGATCCTCATCCACACGGTGGCACATTGTGTCATCGGGTGTTTATCGCTTGTGTTATGTCCTGGTAGAAAGTCAGTCAGTGATGGTGGCCTCATCGAATGTCTTCTTCTTCTTCTTCTTCTTCTTGTTCTTCTTGTTCTTGTTCTTGTTCTTCTTCTTCTTCTTCTTCTTCTTCTTCTTCTTCTTCTTCTTCTTCTTCTTCTTCTTCTTCTTCTTCTTCGTCTTCAAAAGGACAGGCATGTAAGTTAGCTGCTAAACATATAGTATTTTTTTTAACACAAACCTCGCTGGCTTTCATAATAGCGAAGATACCCAGTGGTAGGAAGCAGCAGAATGTGGCAAAGATAGCCAGTCCCATGTTGTCAGGAACCGTTGTAGCCAGGATCGTAGTCGGGGCAGGCTGGCTGACTATCACCGTGTTTCCATACGTGCTCTGACTCTGGTTGGTTACTGCAGGCCCCTGGTAGCCGTAGGGACTGAACTGCGCCTGTGTGGACAGAGAAATGGGTGGGTGAAAAAAAAGGGGGGGGGGGGGGGGGGTTACCAGTAATTATCTCAAATAATCTTCTTTTTTTATTTTATGTATCTACCGAGATCTGGGGAGATACACGAATGACTGCTGATAAGGCACTTGATGATGATGAGGATCTACTAGTGGAGTGGCAGTTACCGTGGTATTACAGATAGACACTTGCCCGTGGATATGAAGGTCTTAAGTTTAAATCCGAACGAAATTGGATTTTTTTTCCAACTGACCTTGATTGCCATGTTGTCCCAACCTGAAATGGACACTAGTAAAACTCGATAAAATATGATGATGATGATGACGACCATATAGACTACCGAGAACCGATTGGATTGTAAAATATAGGTTTAGCCCTATGTGACATCATGGCATGGAGGATCATCTGTGTCAGAGTTAATGAAAAGTACGCCAGACAAAAGGTTGTGGATAGATGGGAATGTCAATGCCGCAAGGCATGGGCTTTATTTAGAAGAAGAAGAAGAAGAAGAAGAAGAAGAAGAAGAAGAAGAAGAAGAAGAAGAAGAAGAAGAAGAAGAAGAAGAAGAAGAAGAAGAAGAAGAAGAAGAAGAAGAAGAAGAAGAAGAAGAAGAAGAAGAAGAAGAAGAGAGAAGAAGAAGAAGAAGAAGAAGAAGAAGAAGAAGAAGAAGAAGAAGAAGAAGAAGAAGAAGAAGAAGAAGAAGAAGAAGAAGAAGAAGAAGAAGAAGAAGAAGAAGAAGAAGAAGAAGAAGAAGAAGAAGAAGAAGAAGAAGAAGAAGAAGAGAAGAAGAAGAAGAAGAAGAAGAAGAAGAAGAAGAAGAAGAAGAAGAAGAAGAAGAAGAAGAAGAAGAAGAAGAAGAAGAAGAAGAAGAAGAAGAAGAAGAAGAAGAAGAAGAAGAAGAAGAAGAAGAAGAAGAAGAAGAAGGAAGAAGAAGAAGAAGAAGAAGAAGAAGAAGAAGAAGAAGAAGAAGAAGAAGAAGGAAGAAGAAGAAGAAGAAGAAGAAGAAGAAGAAGAAGAAGAAGAAGAAGAAGAAGAAGAAGAAGAAGAAGAAGAAGAAGAAGAAGAAGAAGAAGGAAGAAGAAGAAGAAGAAGAAGAAGAAGGAAGAAGAAGAAGAAGAAGAAGAAGAAGAAGAAGAAGAAGAAGAAGAAGAAGAAGAAGAAGAAGAAGAAAGAGAAGAAGAAGAAGAAGAAGAAGAAGAAGAAGAAGAAGAAGAAGAAAGAAGAAGAAGAAGAAGAAGAAGAAGAAGAAGAAGAAGAAGAAGAAGAAGAAGAAGAAGAAGAAGAAGAAGAAGAAAGAAGAAGAAGAAGAAGAAGAAGAAGAAGAAGAAGAAGAAGAAGAAGAAGAAGAAGAAGAAGAAGAAGAAGAAGAAGAAGAAGAAGAAGAAGAAGAAGAAGAAGAAGAAGAAGAAGAAGAAGAAGAAGAAGAAGAAGAAGAAGAAGAAGAAGAGACGAAGAAGAGAAGAAGAAGAAGAAGAAGAAGAAGAAGAAGAAGAAGAAAGAAGAAAAGAAGAAGAAGAAGAAGAAGAAGAAGAAGAAGAAGAAGAAGAAGAAGAAGAAGAAGAAGAAGAAGAAGAAGAAGAAGAAGAAGAAGAAGAAGAAGAAGAAGAAGAAGAAGAAGAAGAAGAAGAAGAGAAGAAGAAGAAGAAGAAGAAGAAGAAGAAGAAGAAGAAGAAAGAAGAAGAAGAAGAAGAAGAAGAAGAAGAAGAAGAAGAAGAAGAAGAAGAAGAAGAAGAAGAAGAAGAAGAAGAAGAAGAAGAAGAAGAAGAAGAAGAAGAAGAAGAAGAGAAGAAGAAGAAGAAGAAGAAGAAGAAAGACGAAGAAGAAGAAGAAGAAGAAGAAGAAGAAGAAGAAGAAGAAGAAGAAGAAGAAGAAGAGAGAAGAAGAAGAAGAGAAGAAGAAGAAGAAGAAGAAGAAGAAGAAGAGAAGAAGAAGAAGAAGAAGAAGAGAAGAATAAGAAGAAGAAGAAGAGAAGAAGAAGAGAGAAGAAGAAGAAGAAGAAGAAGAAGAAGAAGAAGAAGAAGAAGAAGAAGAAGAAAGAAGAAGAAGAAGAAGAAGAAGAAGAAGAAGAAGAAGAAGAAGAAGAAGAAGAAGAAGAAGAAGAAGAAGAAGAAGAAGAAGAAGAAGAAGAAGAAGAAGAAGAAGAAGAAGAAGAAGAAGAAGAGAAGAAGAAGAAGAAGAAGAAGAAGAAGAAGAAGAAGAAGAAGAAGAAGAAGAAGAAGAAGAAGAAGAAGAAGAAGAAGAAGAAGAAGAAGAAGAAGAAGAAGAAGAAGAAGAAGAAGAAGAAGAAGAAGAAGAAGAAGAAGAAGAAGAAGAAGAAGAAGAAGAAGAAGAAGAAAGAAGAAGAAGAAGAAGAGAAGAAGAAGAAGAAGAAGAAGAAGAAGAAGAAGAAGAAGAAGAAGAAGAAGAAGAAGAAGAAGAAGAAGAAGAAGAAGAAGAAGAAGAAGAAGAAGAAGAAGAAGAAGAAGAAGAAGAAGAAAGACGATTAAGCATGTCTAGCCCTATATGCCGCATACGGGTGCAGATGGAGAAAGGGGCCCGTTTTAACCAGTGGAGTAGAGGCGTCGCAATCACCCGAGACGCTGCCCTCGAAAAAAAAGTAAAAGAAGATAATACCCCCCCCCCCCCCCAACCACCCTCTCTAAAAGATGTATACAAGATCTCTTCATGTGTATCTTTGTACATATTGGAATATTTAAAACATTTTTTTTATTAATGTACAAATATTACACACATTATATTTTATATATATATATATAATATATATATATATATATATATATATATATATATATATATATATATATATTCATCTACACACTGCATGACCTTTGTTTAATAATTACAGCAGCTCCTATGTCGCGTGTCCTATACTACACGACGATACAGCTTTCAACGACCCTAAAACATCTAAAACTGGCTCTAAACCAAGACCTCTCCCCCATTTCCCCCCCCCCCCCCCTCCTTACCCAGCCATTGCCTAGATCAAATGAGAAAATGTTTTCGAAGAAAGAAATACAACGTTACACCCCTCTACCCTAGTTTAGACTGAGAAAATGTGTAGATGCGCTAGGAAACGTGAGCAGGACCACACACACACACACACGTACGCACGCATGCGCGCACGCACGCGCATGCTGATACGCTCATGCAAACATATACACACACACGCACGCACACATCTTCAGAGTCGCCAGATTACGAGAGTCAGTTGCTGGCGAACCAGCAAGATTCTGAATCTACCCCTGGTTTCTATGAAAACAATATAACCACTTCACTACAAGGACGCCACCCTAGCTCCGTTTGTATTTACTTGATAGTTAGTCCTCGATTTCATCATGGGTAGCAAAGACTGGTATGTACTTGTCCAACCTAAACAAATGGGAAATACCTTCGCGAAACTTATAGCCTCTGCCAATCAAGTCAACCGTACCTACACGTGATGCTTGCAAACAGGGCTCTGGCGCATAGCGAGTCTCCGTCGCTGACAAAATGGGCACCCCGATTCCTGAAGGGGTAAAATACCAGGCTATGGCTAGAGTAGGCCAGACAGAAACCCTCGATAAAGTGTGGACCCCCCCCCCCCCCCATTCCCCAACCCGTAAGGCGTGACCGATGCTGGGCCCACCGGTGCGTGAACATGTCCCGATCCCCACTAATGTCACACCCAGAGAGCTCACCCTCGTTAATCAATGGCGGAGAGGGAAAACTCCTTCAACCTCTGATCTCTGGCAGACAGTGTTTGGATGAACAAGGGACACGGATAGGGAGACTCCGTACACCGCCCCCCCCTCCCCCCTCTCCCCCAACCCCCACCGATTTGTATTGTACGGTGTTTGACGAAGTTATCAGGTCTTGTAAAGTTATTGTTTTGTTATGATTCGTTCAAGTAGATTCTATTAAAGCAGTTGTTTGAGGCTGTTATGCATTCGTTGTGGCGTTAGCATCTGCTTGCACCAATTTAGCTGTTCTCTCTGTGTACGCCTCATAATCCTCGTGTCGAGGACAGCGGCTGTGGCCAGCGTTGTATGAAAATGATGTGGGTTCGAGCCCAGAGCTTTTTCACGGGAACGGCTCAGGCGTGATTCAGTGATTGTAAAGCTGACACGGCCTGGTTTCGAATTAGGAGCATCTGCAGTTCTTGGGGCATTCTTCTATTAGTTTGATGCTCTTTGTACATTACAGATTTTGTGTTTGCTCTATAGGTGTTCGGCTTGGTGTGTGTTAGTCAGATTCGTCTATTCGCGGCTCACAATACGTGCCATAGTTATAATACCCTAAAGTAGATCGTTGACAATCAACAAGCCGCCTTTACTTCCAATGATGTTTTCTGGTAACCATGTTAGACTAGGTTGACATAGGATCCAAGATCAATTTAAAATCCGACAGGTGCGGATTCAAACAAGAGACCTTTGGGTTGGCAGGGGAACGTTTAGCCGCTACACTCCTGAGGCTTAATTTGTATTTAGTAAAAGTAAATAAGGGACCCTAATTGCTGCCTTTAGGCGTGCTCGGCATATAGACTAAACCTATGTTTTGTAGTCCAGTCGGCACTTCATGGTTGATGTCGTCAGCCTCACACCAGTCCCCTTTACTTCCCAAGACTATGCCTGGTACTAATCTAGGGCTTGGAACCAAGGTCACTGTTGAAAAACAAAGTCTAATTCTTTTGGATTTGAACCCACGGCCTTCGAATCCGCATGCGTGCGTCTAGCCGCTACCCCACGTCGGCTCTACGTATTTAGTCTCTCCTCCTTTCTGATCCCAAATGAAGCCTAAGCCCTACACCAACTCACGCTAGTTCATTCTGCCCGTTGCTATTTCATGCAGCCAACCCAATGTCCTACTACTGAACGTAAAATTTGCCTTAAAAAACCCACAACAACCAAAAAATTCACGTTGTTGGTT